CTATAATCAAGGAAAAATATTCTATCAAAAAACAACTTTTTTTTCTTTAAGCTGTTGGTGTATATGGGTATCTTTTACTTTTTGAAAAGGCACTGGTGAACGATTCATTTTTGTGAGAATCTATTATAAATGCTTCCTGTATAATCAACTCTGCAGAAGAAAGCCTATGTGTTTGGGCTCTTATTCTACTATGTATGTTTTCAACAAAGTAATCATTAAGGGTGATTATTATTTTTCCAATAAGAATAATCAGATAAGAAAACTAATTGAAGTTTTTTATAATTTCTTCTCTTCCATCTTAGGAAAAAAGTCCAGATTCTAAAAAACGTCTCTACATATTGTTCAAAGGCTCCTGATCGAAAAAGTACAGAATATATATCCAAGGTTGCTGAATAATATTATCTAACAGATCTATCATCATTCTGTACTCTGTATCTTTAGTTTTTCCAAATTTTTCTACTATCATATTAGAAATTTCTAACCAACCATCATGTGCAAATTGAAGAATATAATTAATCTTCCATGGTTTAGGTTTTTCTGGAGATTTTGTCTTTTCAAAAACATTACAATATAACTTTTTGAAAAAATCATGATATAGCATAACAACATCTTCATGTGAATTAAGAGAAACATGTAAAGGTCCCAAAATTGGAATAAAGTTAAGTATCCAATCCAGATTATTTTGTTGAATATTATTTTGCTGATTTTTTAAATACAATGTGATAATTCTTATAAAAAGTTGGCCTGGAAAATATATTCCGCCAGTGATTTGATATCTGTAATCATTTTAATTGCAGAAAGATAATCTTCTAGAGAGCGAAAATTTTGTTCCTTTATATCTAAAATTCTAACTGTTTTCATTGACCTCTCCTCTTTCTTTTCTTCAATATTTGCATTACATGGGTGCACCAATAAAAGCTCCGATCGGTCAAAATCATTTTCATTTATTTCATTTTGGATCCATTCTTTTTTAATATAATTGTAACTTAGGTCAAAATGACCTTTATAATTGTTAACTAGCCTGTAAATGATTGTTGATGCTTCAATGTTCTTTGGATTAAAGAGTGGTATGTTGTTGTAATTAGCAGGAATAGCCAAAACATTTTCTATCGTTTTAGCAATGCATGTTGCCATATGTGTTGCTGAAGATAATGAGATAGAATTAGGCCTTCTCCATTCATGAATTGAATGATAGCCTGAACTGTAATTATTTCAGAATCGGCAAAAACGTTGATCCTAAATTATCAATCCGACTATTTGTCACATTAATTCTTTTTATTTCTTGTAACATACTTGATGTCATTAAGACTCGCCAACATCAGGAACAGTTTCAAGAAAGGGAAGCAAAGAATGTATAACTTTATGGCCCGTTATCACTGAAATTAATACGATGGACTGATGAGAAGTAGTATGGTAGCGAAATCTCCAAGAATTTGTTTAGGAAAATGAAAACTTACTCCATAGGGACACATCCTAATGTTTTAGTACTTGAAGGAACCGGTCGTTGTGGTTTATATTTGCATGGACATGTCGATATTAGCAAAAGTCATTTGCTGTTGCTGCTAACAGAATTAAGGATACCTGTCACAATTAAAAAAACTGGTTGCAATTAGGTTGTAACCATTTTTGTATGATATAGCTGTTGTTGCAATCATCATCAAAAGTTGCAGCCAGTATCTTTAAAGTCAAAATACCGTATCATTTTTATAAACAACTGGGTTCATGCATTAGGTGTCGAAAAACAATATTGGTATCTGTTGGAAAATCTCGGGATTTGCTTCGTCATGAGATATCACAGTCTAATTTCGTCAAGCATTCAAGTAGATTATTCTAATATATCCCTCAGGAAACGAGCTACAGGTTATCTGGGTGTTTGACCAATACAATTAGGTTCATCAAAAGTGAGAAGAATAGCCATTAATTATTATCAGACATAAAGAAACCAAAAGAAATTGTTATACAGTCAAACCTTGTTACAGCGAATTTTGAGAAAAAAAATTTTTTTAATAATAAAAAACTTTTTTGAGTACAATAATTACTAAGTCAAGTGATAAATGGCCAATAAAAATACGTTAAAAATTGTATGATTAAAAAGTCATACAATCTTTAAAAATTGTAATAAAACGTATGATTATTTAAAAATTGTAGTAAAATGCATGATTATTTTTTCATGATTATTTTCCATTATAATAAAACATGATTATTTCTGCAATTTAAAAATGTATGATTGTTTTTTGTGATTTAAATAATATCTTTATGGAATTCTAAAAGGTATGGGTACAAGTTTGGATATGACAATGTTAGACTGCACTGTCAACATCTGCAAACAACAGGATATTTTTCCGACGCTCGTAAGTTATTATTATATAATAATAACATTACAAATAATCATTACCAAATATGAGATGTAGTGTGCTTAAAAAACTCAAAATTGGTTGTACATTGTTTTAACGTAAACAAAAAAAATTTAAATAATAATAAACACGTTTTTGAAGAATTCTAAATTTGATCCCTGTAATTTATTTTTTCGTTTTACAATTTTGTGCGATGATTTGGTGGGTTTTTATTCATGTATGGGACGGATTAACCTTGAATCCCGTGGCCATTTTTGTGAGGTTAGTTCTTTTAGCTAATCATTGAACTAGCTAGATTTAGAATAGACATGTCTGAAAAATAACTAACAAAACCTGAAGTATTTAATTTAATATGAGATCCCATAAAATTTGTCTTGGAGAAACATGTGTACGATTCATGCAGAAATATGAATTTATCAAAGAAAATAATTCTCTTATTTTCTTTAAATCAGTGTTTTCTGATGAATCTGATTTGTTATTTTTGAAAATTACATTATCGCGCATGATCATGTCAGAAGTTACACAACAAATAAAAAATAAAATCCATTATTTTTTTTTAAACAAAAAAAATTTTTCATCTATCTATATACATACACAGATATTACATCTATTTGCATCTATTTAATATTTAATTTACGACAAATTCTGGCTCATTATTACAACTTGCATACAATATATGATAGTTAATTATATTAAATTTTCTAGTGTTGCAACTACATCAAAACATTATTAAGATCAATAATAACAACAACAACAACAACAACAACAACAACAACAACAATAATGTCTTTGGCAATAAGCATTATTATAATAGTAGTTCTTACGGAAATGATTGTTTGGTTTGGATATTCACAAATAGCGAGTTTGGTAAGAGATAATAAATAAATATAATTAGATCTTTTTAGAGATCAACATACTATTCATTATTTGTTTACCATTCGCTAATAATACTATCAATATAAATAGGCATACAGTACATATTTAAGTATATTCGAAAGCGAGGCATTGACAAATCAAAGAAAACTTAAAAGAGATATATTAATTGTAAAACAAGAATTAGCAAGAACAAGCTCACAGGTATGCGTACCTGGGTGGCTTTGATTAAACAAAATGATTTTAATTTTAATTTTAATTTTTTTTTAAGGATCAATTTGCAAAATGGGCAAAACTAAGAAGAAAACTGGATAGTAAAATGGGCGAATTAGAGAAAATCAGTAAATATCTTTTAAATAAGTTAACAAATCATCAAGTTTCAAATTTAATTTACTCTTAAAAAATTTTAAATATGAATAGCAACATCATTTGGATATATGAAGACATCATTTGAGATAAAATTTAAGACTATTTTATGGACATCAGCTAATGGAATTCAAATAATTATGGTGCTGTGGTATAGAACTACGCCTGTATTCTATTTACCAGAAGGCTGGTTTAGTCCAACCACATGGATCTTTTCTTTTCCATTTTCACCTTCAGGTTTTTATTCATCTCGTTTATTTTCATTTCATTTATTTTGAATGGGATTTATTCTCCTGACAATATATTATATTTATGTCTCTAATAGGGTCTATTAGTGTACCGGTTTGGTTTATAATTTGCCGAAAGCTTGCAAGAAAAATTCAAATTTCTTGTAAAGATTCTGGTAATTTTATTTTTATTATTATTATTTCAAAAAATAAAATATTTATTTTTAGTAACATTGTTATATTTTCTATTTTAGTTGTCTTTTATAATATATTGTCTAATTCGATCGCATCAAAATTAAACAAATGGAAAAGTTTATGACTTTGAGCAGTGTTTGTGTATGATGAGACGATGATGATTGGATAGTGATTATTGGATGATTGGTAGATTAGAAGTAATATGTTAGCTTCTAGGTAGAGAAAACTAAAAATATTTATTTATACAAAAAAACCTGCAAAAAGTCAAAATAGCATGAAAATGAATGTGAATGGAAAGATGATTTTAAAAACATTTTATTTTAAGATATTTAATTCACGAGATATTTATTTAATAATTTTTTTTTCCTTTTTTAAAAAATAAATAATATGTAAATATTTAAATGCGTATACATCCTTAACATTATCAATAAGTTATCATCAATATAATAATATAATACATATATTTTAATCATCTTATCAGATCATGATTAGATAATTAAACGATGATTATATAATAATAATGATGACTATAATTACATATTAAAAACTTGTTAAAGCTGAAATTTAAATTTTTGAATTAAAATAAAAAGTGCAAAACGGCGATCTCCGACAAAATAAAAGTTCACGAGATTCAATAACAATAATAATATATCAATATTTTTTTTTTTTTTTTTGAAAGAGCCGAATTTGGAGCAAAAATAAAATCAGATGATTTTACAATTAATTTCCTCAATTTATTTTTATTTCTATTTATAATAATAATCAAATATTTAATTTTACCAAAATAATTTTCATAAATTAATAATATTTATACTGTATGCATATAATAAAAATATAATGTAATCTAAAAAACTAAATAATTTTATTTCAATATAAAACTACAACGATTTTGTGCTAGTTGCTTTTTTCAAAAAAAAAAATCAAAAAATTTTTTTGAGTTTTATTCTTTAAAAAAAATTTTCGAAAATAAAAAAAAAAGAAACAAATGACTCAAGTTTCAGGTAAATAATTTAAATTTTACCAAAACGTTTCTTTTTTGAATTCCTTTCTCATTTAATTTCTTTTTTTTTTCTCGACAATCGCTCGCACTTTCCACAATAGAAACACACTTTCATCAGGAAGAAGAAAAGAATGAAGATGTTAATGACATTGATGAATATGATGTATACGAGGAGGATTGTGATTATGAAGATTATGATATAGAAGCCTTAGAAGAATATTTGATGTGAGTATCTGTTATTGTTTGGCTGATGATGATAATAATAACAATAATCACTGATAACAAATTATTTTTTAATTTGCTGTTTGTTTGATGAATTTGGTAATTGGGAAAAATCTCGTTGAAAACTTGAATATTCCCAAATAAACATTGTTCGTGTAACTAATAAATGGCTTAATTATTTATATTATTGTTTATCTTATATAGAGGATCTGATCAAGGACTAATAAACAGTGATAATCTATTACCTACAACCGGTTTACGAAGAATTAGAGATAAACGATCTATGTCATGTGACTATGATAATCGTGGAGAAGCATCAAAAATCATGAATCACATAGATCTTGCCAGATTCTCAACAGAGTCGTTACACAGCTATAGTTTTGTGAGAAATGATGTATCATCATTTAAGAGTAGACAAAATTTTATTAATCGTTCAATCGATTTTATGAAAAATAAGATAAAAGGATGGAAAATTCCAATCCATCATCATCGCACCAAAAATAATATTACTACTCAAGAAGAATATCAACAATCACCATCATCATCTGTAGAGATGTCATTTCCTTCAACCGATATTATTTTTCCTACATTTACAACGACTTCTTCAAATGAATTACCCGAATCTTCGAGAAACTTTAGAAGATCATCAACAGCATTTTCATCCATCATCTATTCACCATCGATGATGATAATGACTCCTACGGTTCTGCACTCGCCAACCAGATTCACTCCACAGAATCAAGCCATAATTACAACAGACGATCAAGCAAACATACTGAACGCTAACGATCTTACGTGTTTGCTATTTGGTTACTCCAGAGTTGAATTGTTAAACGTTAAAGTTTTAAGTATGATTGGAAGCCCTTTTCGTGAAAAAATAGCAAAAACACTTGTATCGAGGCTTCAAAACGATGAAGATAACTGTGAAGCAGTATTGGCATGTGGTAAAGTGGTGTGTATTATTGTGTGATAATTAATTATCGTTTGTGACAGTGATAATGAATATTATTATTATAACATTTATTTAGATACCAATACAAAGAAAAAGTGAAGAAGCCTCATTAGCCTCATTATGGCTTAAAATGAAAAAAGACGAATGTGGTAACTTTGTGTTAATTTGGATTTTCGAAGAAATATCTGAATTAACTATGACTGCTGAAATCGATGAAAAGGTATATAAATAATGATATTTTTTAATATTTAATCATAACTAAAGTACTATTTATATTAATTAAAAAAATAAAATAAAATAGGGAACAATAATAAAAACTTTTGGTGAAGTAATAACTATGTATGGATATTCACCCGAAGAACTATCGGGGATGAATATCCTTTCACTAGTTCCAAATCTAGAAACAACAACCAATTCATCATCACCATCATCATCATCACTGTTGGATATAGAGAAAATAAATAAAACAAAATTTTATGGTAGTAAATCTAAAAATCTAATTAATTTCCCTATAATAGGGGAAATATCACCATCATCCATCAAAAAAGAAGAAAGGCAAGAATTAGAAATACAAAAAAAATTTTCTAATATAATATATGAATTTAAAATTGTTTCTATTCCTACTATTGCTGGTGTGATAACTGCATACGCTACTGGTGTTATACAATCGTGTAATTCAGATTTTGTAAAGTGTTTATTTGGTGTTAGTGCTGATGAATTAATTGGAAAAAAAAATATTGGTAAATTGTTACCACAATTTCCCGGTCTTGTCAAAATCTTGGAATCGGAAAGCGCACTAGTTGAAGGAATCGTTATTTCAGAAAATATTTTCCGTAAAGCTGTTTCTTTATTATCACCCATAACAACAACAACAAAAACAACTAATTTATTCTATTCAGCTGATAATAGCAATAATAATAATGTTGGCGGTGGTAAAAACTTTTTATCTATTAATAATAATGCTTTAACATCGTCACAAGGGCCTTCTGGTATAATTGCTGTACATAGAGATGGAACAGAATTTGATGTTGATATTCAAATGCGTATTCTAGAGTCACCAGATCAACCATTACATGCTCTATGGATCACTTATGATCGTAATGTCAACTTTGAAGAAGATCCTTTTCCATTTCCAAAATCTCCTTTAATGTATGAAAAATCAATGATGGAAACACTTGCAGAAGAAGAGGAGGAGGAAGAGGAAGAGGGGGAAGAGGAGGAATGTGTGAAGATGGAGGTGGAAATGGAGGCGGAAACCCAGGAGGAAATAAAAATGGAAACAGAAGTGGAAATGCAGAAGGAAATAGAAATAGATGAAAATTCTGATGATGACAACAACAATAGATCGATACGACCGATATTGAAATTATTAACCAATCAATCTCCACCTACTGAAAATATAACTCCGTTTACTGCATCTACATCATCTACATCATCTACATCATCTACATCATCTACACCATCCTCTTCATCTATTTCATCCACTTCATCCGTTTCATCCATTACTGCTATTAAATCAATCACATCACCACCTGAGCCACCATCAACTAATTCTACTGCTGCTGCTGCCGAACCATTTGATCCTAATAATTATTCAGCACTAACGCTTAAAAAAACAATTGACGATTTTGTAATAACTGGGGTTTTGGGTAAAGGAGCTTATGGTGAAGTCAAATTAGCGTATTATAAAAATGATCCTGAAATGGTAATTTCATTTTATTTTTTTGTTAATTAAAAAAATTTATAAATTAATATTTGCATTAAAATTTTAAAATTTTTCAATTTTGTAGAAAAAAGTTGTTCTTAAATATGTTTTTAAATCTTGTATAATTGTTGATTGTTGGATACGTGATAAAATATTGGGAACAGTTCCGTTAGAAATACATTTACTTCACACATTAAAACTTATTCCTCACCCTAACATTGTACAAATGGGTAATTATTATAGCATAATAATAATTTCAATATTTATTTATAAAATAATATTTATTTATATTTATATTATTTATAGTTGACTTTTTTGAAGACGATGATAATTATTACATTGAGATGGGACTACATGGAGTAGGAATGGATTTGTTTGGGTACATAGAATTGAATCCTCAAATGCCTGAATCAGAAATAAAGTTAATATTTCTTCAAGTGGCAAAAGCAATTCAACATTTACATCACAATAAAATTGTACATCGTGATATTAAAGATGAGAATATAATACTTGACGAACATAATAACGTACAAATAATCGATTTTGGATCTGGTGCTTATGTAAAAGAAGATACAAAATTTGACACTTTTTGTGGAACTATTGATTATATATCTCCTGAGGTATTTATGTTATTCTGTGACGTGTGACATTTTTGTGGGATAAATACAAATAATAATAATTATAATGCAAATTTTTAAACAGGTATTTTCAGGTAAAAAATATGATGGGCCACCACAAGATATTTGGGCTTTAGGGGTATTATTGTACACTCTGATCTACAAAGAAAATCCATTCTACAACATTGATGAAGTGATGGCAAGAGATTTAAGGATTCCGTTTATACTATCCGAAGGTTCAATTGACCTTGTTAAGAAAATGCTTGAATATGATGTTGACAAACGGTTAAAAATTGATGAAGTTTTAAGTCATCCTTGGTTATGTGAAAATTAATTAATTTATTTATTTATTTATTTATTTATTTATTGTAGATTGTAAAATTTTGTAATTTTTATTTTTTATTGTTTTTTGTATAATAATATTTTTGTTGAAATATATTTTATATATTTAATATACATAAATAAATAGATTTTTTGGTAATTGAATAACTATTTATTATTATTAACTAATTATGTTTGATTGGGAATTAATGTATCAATTAATATTTTAAGAGATAAAAACCCAAGCGAATGATATTAATCGAATGTGAAACGTGTTTTGTAATTCAATGAGAATCTAAACACGTTGTTTTTTATAAAATGTAAAATATATATATTATTAGTATTCAAAAATGGATTTTCGTTTGGATTATTAAAAATTAAATTCTAAATCTATATATTTATTTATTACAATTAATACTACCGAGAGTAAACAGATATGCAGATGTACGCGACTTTATTAATAAAAAAAGAATTTATCATCAATATTCCTCCCAAGAAATAGGTAATACAAAAAACTATTTAAAAAAAAATTTTTTTTTTCCAAAAAATTAAAAAATTCCCTTTTAATAAAAAAAAAAGTTTAACAAATATGACTCACATTTCTCAACCCGTAGTGATTGAAGTTCCCGAGTCTTTTGAAAAAATGGACGACATTGATCATTTAATGATTATGATTGGTTAGTAATTTATAATCATATAGATTTATTTTATACAAGTTTTTAAAACATTTCTTTTTCGTTTCTCTTTTTTTTTAAAAAAAACTTACCCAAATCTTATTATATTGTGCGTTGTAGCTGATATGTTGGGATGCGTAATTATTCATAATGACAGGATTCGTTTAACACCGGCAGATCTAACAAGATTTCATTCTAGAGCATCACCTTCAATCTCAGTGATAGATTATTTACGTAGAATAGTAAAGTACACTGCGACAGAAAAGGCATGTCTTCTAATACTACTAATATACATTGACAGAGTATGTGAACGTGAGAAATCGTTCACCATCACATCACTGACAATACATCGATTCATCATCACAGCAATAACCATATCATCAAAAGCATTATGCGACTCATATTGTACCAATTCATATTATGCCAAGGTTGGTGGGATATCTACACAAGAGTTGAACACTTTGGAATTTGAGTTTTTGAAATTGATTGATTGGCATTTGATATGTACTGGTGATGATTTACAACAGTATTATGTCAATTTGGTGGAACAGATACCTAATTATAAGATTGCGGCACCAAATAATAATAATTTTGATTCTAATTTTGATGATGATGATGACGATGATGATGATGATGAGGAGGAGGAGGAGGATAATGGTCATAGGGGTAGTAAAATGGTGATAGATACCCCTACATCATCGTCTTCTTCTTCTTCTTCTTCTTTATTGTCATCATCTTCTTCATCATCTTCTTCTTCTACACATACCACAACTCCAACATCTTCCACTACATCTAACATTTCATCATCATTGTCAAATTAATTAATTATTTGAGTTTTTTTTTTTGTGAGGAAGAAAGGCTTCTGATTTAAAATTTAGGTAAATAATAAATAAAATAATAAAATAAAGATTGTTTAATTTAATAATTAATTTAATTTAAATAATTTATTTAATTTTAGAAGAAAGAACAATAATAATGGAAATCATTCTTTTCTCCCAAATAAATTATTCAATTAAAATTTTTTTTTATATTTTTGTAAATATTAGAAATTTATTTTTTTAATTTATTTTTAATTTAATTATTATTTTCCTGTAATGATTTTATTTGTATATTTTACCACTATAATTACTACTCCTACTTCTACTACTACAATAGACATTTATTACTTATATAAAATATGAATTTATATAAATTTATATTAATAAAAAAAATTTGAGTTTAATCTCCAATAAAATAAAATAGTCTTGTGTTTCACCCAAAAATATGATCAAGGTGTTATTATAGTGTTATATATGAATTTTACCATTATCCATTATAGGACTAACATAATCAGAATCTAGATCCATTCTGTCCACAAGTTCTACCACCTTTGTTATCTTGGAGTGAAAATTATATAAAAATCATAAAAATTTTAATTTTCATTCTATTGTATTTACACTATTCTCCGCAGGTAAATCAATAATATTGTGCTTTGTGCTCAATAAAATGAATCAAATTCATTATCCATAATTGATAATGTTATTTATTGTATAATCCAAAAAAGTTTAATCTATTTTAAAAAAAAAAAACAAATGAATGAATAAAATGCAATTGTAATTGAAAATTAAAATGATGCATCGTCGAATATCGAAACAGTTTTTTCCAAATTTTTCAAATTTTGTCCAATGTCCTTTTATACATGCAATGTCATTTACATGATTAGGCCCATATGTCTCTTCAAAAATTACTTCAAACTTGAACCTTTTGTTATCAGTGTATTTTCTGCTGGGGAAATTGCTTTCACCTAAAGTAAATTTAATAATGCTATTATTTCTACATTTGAAATTTTACAAAAAATTCTGGATACATAGTACAAGTTGCATTATCGTTAAAAAAACTTTACCGTTGATGTGTTAATATGTTAATATTGCGAAATAAAAATCGGCAACAGGATTAATTGCTTGGTAGTTCCAAGTACTCTCCGATGGCAAATAATCATTAGATCCCTGACTAGTTCTCCTAGTCCAAAGACATTGACTAAAAAAATTTACTAAATAGATTTTTAAAAACATAAAACAATTTATTTCAAGTCTTTAAAAAAAAAAAATTACACACAAACAATATACTAGACTTCTTATCACTCGAAACATTTTTTAACTCTCCTTTATCATGATAATATTGTTCAGGGATTCTATCTTTCCATAAATTTTAGTAGGAACCTTTTCCAAGTTTGGCCCTTCATTAACTTGATTCCATAGTCCTCTTTGTGTAAGGTGAGAAATTAATTGCACTGATATCGAATTAAGACCAATTATGCCTGATAGAAGAAGGCCATCTTTTTTTAAATCTATATAATTTATTACTTGAAAAATACTTATTTAAGTTTTCTTTTTTTAAAAATTATTAATAAATTAATTATTAAAGAAAATAGATTAAGACAAAATGTTACTTTATTAATTTTCTTTATAGCATTCCTAACTAACATCATTGGTAACGTTTTCGACGTTTGCATGATTTTCAATTTTTAATTCACATTTGAAATTGTAATAATTGGTTACTTTTTCATAAATTTCACATCTTCAAGATCCTTCCAAATGGATTTGCACTTCTTTCTATATAGCAAAATAACAAAAATGGACATTATTGGTAGAATCTCTGATGTTATAATAAATAATTTAAATCGTTTTCTGTAAAATTTGCATTGGATCGGTGTTAATGTTTAGTCCAAACTTAAGATTATGATATGAATATATTCCATTCGACCAAGTATTGAAGCACAGTTCGCAAATTAAAAGGCTTTAAATATATAACACTCAACTAATCGATATATTGACTCAAGCCGGGTTGTTCGCCAATAGGATTCAGAAGAGGCATTTGTTGAAAAATAGCTCAAGATTAAAAGGCCTTAAATATATAATACTCAACCAATCCTAGTGTCTGCACCTCGGTGGAGATATATTGACTCAAGCCAGGTTGCTCGCCAATAGGATTCAGAAGATAGGTATCTCACAATCCATAATGTGTTACATCATATATTTTAAATGTTTAATATATTTTAAGCTACTGTTCTTACTGCAACTTTGAATTTTTTCGCCAGCCTCTACCCATAAAATGTGTAAAGGTCTTATACTTTCCAAATTATCAAGAAAATTCACATGACCAACAAATATAATAAATCTTTTCGTAACATCTTTTTTTAATAATGATATTTATTAATGAATCTTTTCATTTTTAACCATATTTTGATGAAACCAATGAAATATAAGCAATGATGATAAAGTTGTAAAATTATTAATATTATCACTCACTATTATAATTACTAATTTTAAAATCCCGATTGTCGATCAAATTTATTACACGCATTTCTTGTGTGTTATAAAGTTTTTGTCGTAATTGTGCAAACATCGAGTTCATTTTTTGGTTGTTTTGAGTGATCTAAAATTCCGCAGGATGACAGAAACATAAAGTATGTCATTATGCAAAAATACTAATGAAACTTACAACCCTCGCCATACATTTACGTAAAGTTGCGAAGTCTGTTAGTACAAGAGTAGTCTATTAAATTCCAAATATCAATTAAAATCCTTGATTGTTCTTCAAAATGTGTAAATCTTATATTGATAAATATCCAGATTCTTTATTTTTTTGAATTTCATGTCTTTGTAAACCATTAATATTTTTATACTCATAAATTACCTTTAATTTGATTCTAATTTACAAAATCAAAGATTTAGATTTGGCTCATTCTTATATTTATTATTATTATTATTATTATTATTAAATATTTGACTCTACAATAATAATATTTTGTCTCACAATGGGAGAATTTGGTAACTTTTTATATGAAACTTACAGATTGGTTCGAAAGTGAAAGTCGAGCCAATCATGTATTTTCCCACAAAAAAAAAAGAAAATGCATATTGCAGTTATGCATACAAAAAATAGATTTAAGAGGAGTCAGAATGGATGGAAAGACAGCGCATCCGTCCAGGAGAGGAAGGAAATGTAAAATATCCTCAATCTTACAACTATTTGAAGGTCATCAGACGTTAAGGGAGGAGAGTTAATAACAAAGCAGCATGATATGGAAATGCTTAAAATATTAATATAGAATATATATGTTTATATTTACTTTTTTTGCTTGTTTTTTATATATACAGTGTGTAACGAAAATAATGGTGGTTTGCGATACAAATTAGAAAATAATAAATCGTTTGTTTACATAATTTACGAATTAAGTATTCGTTTGTTTACACTCTAAAAAACACGTAAATAAATAAAAATTTATTGTTATTTTCACTTTTGCTAATTAAAATCTATAAAAACATGGTTAATACAAAGCTTGAAATGCAATGTAAAACTATTTTGCATTTTTGGCTCAATGACATCCGTTCGGCCAAAGAAATATATCAATGAATAAGCATTCCTTTGCGTACTATCGAATGTAACCTCCAAAAGCTTAGAGAAACGGGTGGTAGACCATCGAATGTTACACGAACTCTTGCACGTTCCTTGGTCAACATATTCGTCATAATTCTGCTTTAACAACCCGTCAACTTTCTTTATTAGCCCAGGAAAAGCATAATATATCGATTTCTCATACTTCTATTTGGAGACATATGAAAAAAAGGGGTATGAGAGTTCTATACCTCTTGGAACCCCCATGCGAAAAGAATGGGCATGAGACTATATGAACACTAACTGGGACAAAACAATATTCACAGATGGAACTGCTTTCGATCTTTTTAGAAACAAAGTTAGTAGATGGCACAAATATGGTAATAGACCAACCCGACGTTTGCCAAAAGTGCATCAAAAGATAATGGCATGGGGTGGGATCTCATTAAAAGGTAGAACATCTTTATTTTGTTTTACCGATATCATGAATGGCCCATATTATGTAAATATTTTGCAGACACAGCTTTTACCTGTTGCAAAAAACTTATGTGGTAGAGGTTGGCGTTTGCAACAAGACAATGATCCTAAGCACACTTCAAGTGTTGCGAAGGAATTCTTTGCCCAAAATAAAATTCGGGTCGTAGAGTGGCCATCCAATAGCCCCGATTTAAACCCTATTGAAAATGTGTTGAAAAGCATATGCCACAAAACATTGACGAGTTAAAACAATTTATGGTTGAGGAATGGGAAAAAATCCCTCAAGTGACGATCAAAAATTTAATTAATTCTATGAAAAATAGATGTGAACTAATTTTAGAAAATAACGGAGATAGAATTGGATATTGAATTTTTTTTTAAAATACACTATGAGCTCTTAAATAAATCAAGTTACAGTTAATTATCTTTTATGGTTATCGAGATATGTAACTTTTTGTCACCGCCATTATTTTCGTTACACACTATATATGAAGAACATGTAAATAGAAATAGATTGTACCATGGTTCCTAATTGATTATCAGTGGCTTTTTTAACAGATATTTTAATGGATACAGTAAAAATTGTAATATAATTTCTCATAAAGAATGAAACATTTGAAAATAGTACTTTGAATTATTTGATTTGAAGCAAAGAAATTTATTGTGAATGGATTTGTGGTTTTAACAAATATTAGTATAATAATAGAATCATTTATGGTAGAATCAATAATTAGATTTTTTTAAATGAATAATAATAAGATAAATCCATAATTTATCATATATAGTCCATACAAAGGGGATTTTTGTGTCGCGCAATTCTGATCAAAGTAAAATTTCAGATAGGAGGTACGTAAAAGTGCGATTTGATTTTTGATCCAGTAATACGCAAAGGTATGATCCAATTTTTGATACGGTGATACGTAAAAATGATACGTCAAAGCATGGACAAATTTTATGACAAGAAAAAATGATACCGAAAGCGCAAACTATGCGAGAAAGGTTCCTAGAGATCCAAAACATAGCGTACAGTCGGTGATACCCCAATGTATTATTAATACAGAAAACTATATATTGTAAGAAATTTTGCTTTGGGGTATCATCAGGTAATGTGCTATTCGGCACTACGTACCTCGTCCTCGATCGGTTTTCGAGTGCATTGTTTATAGTGATATAGGAAATACATATTTTTTTACAAATTGGTTTTTTTAGTCAACTAGTGGGTCTATTTATGCGTTTTTCATTGATTTATTAGACTACTAGCACATGATCACGAAATAGTCTAATTTATTAATAATTACATCATTACGTATTTGCAAACCAGGATGCTTTACATTCAATTCGGGCATGAAAAACGTTTGGCAAGCTGACAACCATAGTGAAATGAAAGGAATATAAAATTAACTAGGCACCAACATAGGTATCTACTTATTTGTATGTAGATAACAGTCTCAAAGTACGATGCAAACGCGAACCAATCGTAAGTATGTAACAATCTAATCATAAGTAGGTAACAATATGTAAATATCTTTACCTACTTATGCTTATATTTTCTAAATTGGTTAAGCGTATTGAAACCAAAAATGTTTTTTGAACTGGATTCAAAAGGTCATTGCCAATACTGCTCGGCAGTGCATAAAATTCAGTTGGGATTTAGGATGGTTACACGCTGGAAATTATCCAATCAAACTTGAATATTATCAATTTTAAGTTGCCATATTAATATTGATATAGTATTAAATTGTCTTTATATTCGGTTTTAATGTAATCAATTAATTTAAAATTATATAAAATGAAAACTAAAAATGAAGGATATGTGATGAAGAATGGAATTAGGAGAGAAATGAAATATGCAAAATTTCAACGCCTGATTAATCAGATAATCGTGAATAATCGGCGAATGGAAACAACCTCTAATACCAATTATGAGTTTTTTAATAGCTCTGGAATTTATCCGTCGTATTAAATTATTTAATCATTTAATAATAAATTAGAATTGATCTCTTTGATCTTTTTGCATCCAGATTTTTTAATATTATTGTAAGATCTTGAAAGACTCATTACGAATGTCTTCTTAACATGAGTATTAAACCCAAAAATAATATATATCGTATAGTTTTGAATTATAAATATTCACTATGAATGAATGGTATTGATAATTTGTTATACTATTGTTATAAAGTGTGAACCCTAATTAAATCGTTTGCATACGCATACCTTATCTAATCCAATCAATAGCCATGTTATGTGTTGTTATAGTTCTTCTACTTGGGTTATTTGATAAAGGCATCAATATATACATTTAATGCATTCATCATCTACTATAACATAAATTATAAATCAATTACCATTAAATTGTTTATCATTAGGTTTTTTCTGTTTTTATTTTGCTCGCTTTCTAATTCTTTACATTTCCATTTTGGAATATATAAAATTAATACCAAGTAAATTGTGTCAAAATCGCGGATGCGAAAGGATGTAACAAGAATTAAGTTAAAAAAAGAGTCAAAGAACGTGAATATCCACAATGTCAATAACTGTGCAAGATCATTTAAAACGTTTGATCGTAAAAAAGAAGAGTGAAATTTTCGAAAGGAGTTTAATAATCCTAAATTGAAAAGTTTATATGCAAGTTCATATTCTCTTCGAATGGGAAAGGTTAGATTGCTTGATTTTTAATGAACGAATGCTGGCGAGAAGGAAGCCGAGACATTGCAGGAAATCCAACGTTCAAGTTAATTGTAAGATAAAAAGGTTTTAACAAAAAAGAACATTCACTTAATATTAACCTTCGAATTATCGGAAAAGTCACCATTACGTAATCACGTCAAATACACACACAACTGACTTGAATCATGGGAAAAATAGATGATACGTAGATCCGATACAGTTGTTTCCAATTTATCGTATTTTTGATACTAAACGCAACAATAAGACGGCTTATAAAAGATGCCTTATATAAGGCTTTAAAAAAATTACCTGGTTGGATTTTTCATGTGCGCGAACAATCATGGAAGCAGAAAACTTGTGAAAATTGAATACGTGCAGCTGATAAAGAGGATAGGTTATGGTATTGTTGGCGTTGTAAAAGGGCCTAGTTCTTAGTGACGACAATGACAGAGAAGAGAGACGGTAATTTTGAGCAATATAGATAGTTGGTTGTAAAAAAAGGAAAATTTATTCCCCTCGAATCTTTCATCTCTTTATAATTGTTATTTACTACACTACAAAAAACCCTTTAAATAAATTATAAAAACATTATATCATTGTGACAACAACTTGTCCGAATAATAATTGTAATGTGGTGGTGGTGGTGGTTGTGGTACCAATAATGTTTTTAAAATTATAATAATATGTTGTATTAATATTCAACTTTATTTTATTTTTATCTTTTAAGTTTTTATTAAAGTTGTTCCTTGAGGATTTTTTCAAATATTATAATTGTTTTCTATTTTAATTAATTATAATTAAAGAAATATAAAAATAATCAAAATAATAACGTATTGGATAGAAATTTTGACTTTTTTTTGTTTGTTTTGCTCCTTTCAACCTAGAACCATTAATAGAAAAAATAAAGTGATTATTCACTCGAACGGGCAAGACAAACTGTTTTGGAATGTTGTGTCTAAAAAATCATCCGGCATTTACAAAGTAAGGATGGTTGTTGGTGAAGCTAAAGTTTAGAAAATGGAACAAATCTTTGGAAGATAAAAGGTTTTTAAGGTATCCGGTGTGAAATACGCAAATGAATCCATCAATCAAGTAATGTAAGTTGGTTGGTTGGCTTTGAGAATTGAGAACTTTTATTAAAATTTAATTTATTATTACTAATTAATTAGTTTGAATGTTCTTTAATAAAAAGGTAATAAATATTATACAAAAAAAGATTTTTAATATACAAAAATTATAATAAGAAAAAAAATTTAAATCTATTTTTTTGCTTTAAAAATTATAATTTAAAATCTATTTCTTTTTATCCACAAATACAATACTGATTTTATTGATAGTATCCACTTCTTCTATAACCACCAGCACCAGCACCACCGCCACCAACATGTGAACCACCATATGAAGAACCATGAGTAGAAGCAGCGCGCGAACCAGCCTTTGATCTATACGATCTATCTGAAACCTTTGAACCTTGTGATTCATCTTCCCACAACTCTTGTTCATAATCTGACCATTTCTTTTTTGGAATACTCTTTGGATCAAATTTACCCTCGTCTGCTGGCAATACCTTCTTACCTCCTTTTTCACCAACCACAACACGCGTGTTACCCCATGAGAAATCATCAAAATGCCAAAATGCATAAATTGGAAGATAAAATGAAAACAATGGCATTGCAAATATATACACAATCATCCATCCCACATGTTCCCATTTCCTACGTAAAATAAATATTACTGCCTGCAGACCATAAACAGCTCCTAATAACACTATCGAGGCAATTGGAATTGTTGTTGGATCTAGAATAATTGTATAGATCAGATACCCCATAAACAATAAAGTTGCTGGCATTATAATTGTAGCAAGCAAATCAAGCATAACAACAAATCTCAATGAAAAACAACAAAATCCACATAATTGAGGTAAGAATATAAGTTCCATAAGATTGTGCACTGTTGAATTGATCCATCTACGACGTTGGGATATCAAAACAGACCATTGTTCAGGTGCTGTGGTTTTACATTTTGCATCTGGCACAAATGTCAGCTTGTAGTTGGAAAAATGTTTCATCATCAATGTGGTCATGTATCGATCTTCACCAAGATGAAGCAAATTTTTCTTATGAAGTGTGTCAACAACGTTCTCAGAATAATCTTCAATCACTTGATTACTTATCAGTAAAGGTTTGTGCGTATCCGGTGTACGTACACGATACATACAGAAACAACCAGGCAAACAGGTAACACTACCAAACAATGATTCAAAAGACTTTGCAAGATGATGAGATATAAAATATTCATATACTTGAATCATAGTAACCCATGACTTCTTCTCATTTGACAATGTTGTTTCACCACATAATCCCATAATTTTTGTATCGTGAATGAATGCTGAAATCAGGCGATTCAACGAGTCTGGCATAACTTCTGTATCAGCATCCACCATAAGAATATATTCATAGAAACTAGGATTAACCCCAATAACATATTTAATTTGATGATACATTTCCAATTCCAACGGTGTCATCTCTGTGTTGAAATGAACTTTGTTCAAGAAATTCATCAATATCATTTGTGAATCTCTTTTACCACGATTACCGGGTCTGGATCGTTCACTTGATTTACCAACTTTTACTACAACAATATATGGTACCACATGCCCGCTACACTCATACAAACCAGAATATATTTTGCCCATGTTGTGTTGCTTAGCACCATCACCCAATGACAAAAAGCTTAATGGTTCAGGATCTAGGTTAGGGTCCACTCCCAAAATGTCCAAAACTATACGAGGAGTTGGTTGGTCATTTCCACTTCCAATAATCATACCATCACATACTATAAATAACAGTTTCCTTTTGTCGTCATATCTCAAAACAGCCAAAGAGTCCAGTGTTTTACGCATTGAATCGTCACTTTCAGTGTAACATGGAACTTGACAAATAACAAATTTATCGTGCTCTTCTGGTTCACGTTTAGTACCTAATTGCAGAGCAGCCAAAAACTTGAATGCTATAACTCCAACAATAATACCTGTAAACCCGAGTAAAATATATCTAGAGAATATACATTGTGGTGAACTACGATGATCCACTTTTCCAATATAAAACAAATTTTTAAAACAAGTCAATTGATTATTTTTGTCTTGTTGACTAATTGCTAATGCATTAAATTGTTTGCTAATATCTGTTCCTTTGCTTCCCACAAAAAGGTCCACGATATATTGATTAATGAACTCTGTGTTGACATTTGCAACAGGACCATCAGGACCCGTAGAAATTCTACCACCCATCACATAAGCAGTCAAATCATAGACATTGTCATTAAGGATTGCTACATTCTTACCCTCAGAAAAGGCCATAAGTTGAACAGCGGCCGTTGAAAAACCTCTTTGACCAACAAGATGTTTGTTCCTCATCCTGTACTGAATTTCCTCAGCATACCAATCGGGTCGATAATCGTCAGTGCTATAACGGAAATCATGATATCTTGCATTTACATCGGCAGTGTCGTTTGTCATCATCACTGATTGATCAACGCCGGGACAAAGAGCACTAATCTGAACAGGAAATAAAATTGAGGCATCCGCACCGCTGTATGACATTAATGTTTTTTGAGTAACGAATGCAGGAAAATGCAGAGGAGCAAATTCGGTTAGTGAAAATACATCTCCACGAATAGATATATATGTATTTTTGTTGTCATTCTCAAAAGAATGGTCAGCCAATTCGCTATCATTAAATATGAAAGCACGTGGACAAATTATTGCACCGAACACGGCAAGCATGAAGACAAGCACACATGACATGAATAGGATGATTATACACAATGCAACTTTTTCACGCCACGCCATCTGTACGTCTTTACGCTTCATTCTACCACACCAAGATAAGAAACAGGGAGGAATCCACCAAGTAAGCATCCAAGTAAGTACGAGCCATTTTATACGAGCTGAAGTCATCTTCCTAGGCTTTTCTTCCTCTTCAGGAACAGTTTCTTGCTCAGAAAGCATTTTTTTCTTTTCCATTTCTATAAACATATTACGTGATGGGGCATAAACCTCCGACCCGTAGGCAGAAGCAGTTTCATTGTATTGACTATATGAATCGTCTTGATAATAATCATCTTCTGATACGATCGAGCGATCATCATTTGAATAATAGGACTGTTGATCAAAACCTTTTGGTGGTGATGGATGATAATGACCAATTTCACTGAGAGAATGCTGAGACAAAGCGTCATCACTTTTAACAAATTCAGTCACACCAACACTTTGTTTTTGTTGTTGTTGTGATAGTTTTTTAACATTATCTCCAGAACTAACACCACTTTTCTTTTTCTTTTTTGGTACTGAATCCAAACTACGAAGATTATCTTCTAGATTACGCAAAGCATGTTCGCTTAGATAAGTTTTCTCGTTCCTAACAATCATATCATTGTAATCCCAACCAAATATTGCGCAAGAAGCTTCAATCTTTGCCTTTGAATCTTGTGATTGATCTATTTCCATGGAATCCAAAATGTGTGCATATTTTTCCAAGAATTCTTCGTGCGTTAGACAGATAGTGTAATTCACTTGTAATCTTTTTGCAATCTCTGTTAGGCCAAGTGATTTTGCTTGGGATTGAAGAACCTTTGAATCGATTTGATTTGGAAGTTGTGTATTGTTGGGCCGAATACAAAAAATGAACCAAGGTGTTGTTTCCTCAAGAGTTTCACATAATTCATCCAGAGCAGATTGAATTTGTGTAGCAACGCATGTTACAGTATGTTGCTTTGATTCTTCTCCACCAACTAGCCTTGAGGATGACGATCTAGTTGCAGTTACAGCATCATCAGTGCCAGCAGTTGTTTCAGTACCTTTTTGACTTTTTCTACGTCTTGTTGAAGGGGCTCTCATAGGCTTCACAGACTGTTGAGCAGAAATAATAGTATTATCATTATAGGGATGCGATTCAGTTGCAACAGCATTATTTGTAAATAAACCAATGATGAAGCTATTGTAGGAAGAACCTTCACGAAACAATGAAACAAAATCAGCACTCAAGTTGTCAATATTTTTTTCTAGGAAATCGGTAGTTTCGTACAAGACTTGACCAGTGTAATGCTGTATTCCAAATGTTGGTAACGCATTTAAACTTTTTGAAGTAGGAGTATAAGAACTATGGTTAGAATATTTTCTGTTGAAAGCATCCAACATTGTTTGATTTGTTTTACGAGGTACTTTGTTTGCCTGGTCATTCATTATTGATATTAAACCTGTTGAAGGTTTAGATAACATCTTTAGACATTCAGAGTTGTCAAAGTATGGTGTATCTGGTATGGTACCTTCGATTCCTTGTTCGATATTTCCTTGTTCGGTATATTCATCATTATTCACCTCAAAAATTTGTCGTAAAACGAAATTATAAATCTTTTCATTTGCAAAGTTGATGCAGAATTGGTCCAAGGAATTGCAAGCCAGATTGTGAAAACCAATCAGATCAACAATGCCTATGAAACCAGCAAAGTTTTCTTGACATATTTTTGTGTTGATGTATTCAACAATCCAACTGAACAATAAAGAGTAAAGAACTTTTGCCAAATCATCTCTTTGCACATTGGCACCCTGAATGTCCAAGTAGACTGTACATATTTCCTTTTTGATTAATTTGGTTTTGTAGGTAAGGGCCAATTCTAAAGAATTAGGCTCCACACCCAAGAAATCAGCTACCAATTCCAACACGTCCATATTTTTAACAAATGCAGCTTCTTGTTGTTTGTTGGGATCCTGATTGAACTGAATGTTGCCAAGATGTAAGATTGCAGCTAGTAATTGAAACATTTGAGCAACATGTTTTTTGTGGAAGCCTAAAGATTTTAATGATTGTTTTAATTCATTGAATTTGTTTGTATCTTCAATTGCGTTATAAGCTCTAGAAGTAGTTTTAGATACATTGAGGTAACGATATTGTGAGACATCTGTCAGGCGTAGATGAGATTTTTCTTCATTGGAAGCACCTGCTATGAGGTAATAAAATACATGAAAGTTTCTCTCATTTGCAGGCACATTTGAAACACGAGTTTTCTCCAATAAGTAATCAAGAGTCTTTGCACCAATTAACCTGCCACGTTCATTAAATTGCAATTCTGTGTAATTACCAAATCGTGATGCGTTATTATTTATTAATGTTTTTGCATTTCCGAACGATTCCAGAATGAATACAGAAGCGGGAACTTGAATCTGAATTCTTGATTCTTTTTTTTGATGTGAACTTAATGCAATAAGTAGATTAAATAAAAGTTTACGAGTCTCTGATTTACCACTACCAGATTCGCCACTAGAAAATTTGGAAAATTTGGATTAGTTGAGTAGGAGGTAGAAAACATATTAGATGAAAAGTAACAAAAGGAAAATTAATGTGATGCAATATATATATATATATATTGGAATACGAATTGGGATGACAAAAAATTATATTATTATTGATAATAAGGCTTGGTCGATCAAATTAACATTTTTCACAATGGTTAAAAATTTTTCCTAAAAAATATTCATTATACTTACTTTATAATGATAGATTGATCTTGGTTAGTTCTTCGCATATGAAAGTATGCATTAGAAGCAATTTGAAAAGCATGCGGGGGTAATTCAGTTCTTTGTCCTGAAGTGTCTTTGTAGTCCACGACATATTCTTGTACAGTTGAGTCGCTAAAGATTGGTAGCGTTTTGTAAGGATTTATTGAGACTAGAACAGATGAGTTTATGCGAGTGTAAATTAAGTTGCTTTGATAACGCTCTCTAAGTGTTGCTGATATAGTGTCTAAAGAAATGGGCTGTATCGTGGTAAGATCTATTTTATCTTCGCTTTTTTTTCTACCCATAATTACAAAGGGTTTTCTTCTATCTGTTACTGCTATTACTACTATTACTACTACTACTATTTGTTATCAGTATAAGTTATTAATTATTATATAAAGTTTCTAGAATAAAATGTTCATAAGCACGTTTATAATAATGAAAAAAAAAATATTTAAAAAAACTTATCGATTTTATTTTGGTGTGACAAGTAAATACTAACTTTGGCTTTGACTTAACTTTTGATTTTAATTTGTTAAACTTTTTATTATAAATGGGGGGGATCTTTTCAACGAATAGGTTACTACTACTGTATTCAATAATTTTGTCAAAAATCATTCATTCAAAGTTTTGATTCGTATGGGTCAAAAGCAAATTTATATTTTCTTTCTTGGGATTCTAACTTTAGAATAAATCCCTTGAACCTTGTGCCCAACATTGGGAAGTGAAATGATTTGTTTTGCCACGGCGATAAGGTTTATAGTACCATCATCATCTAAGGAAGTTAATTCATAAGCCCCCATCTGAGAAAGCAAGTAATAATTAATTTGCACTTTAATTGTGCTAAACTATATTCAATATTGCTTTACTATTGTTATTGTTTAAAAATAGAAGTTCATCAGTTTATAAATATTTGCCAATTAATATCGAGTTTTGGATTATAAAAAAGTATCGTACAAGTTTTCAAGAATGTTTAATAAGTTTTGTATTTATGTAATTATTGTATAAATAATAAGAAATGATAAACCCTAAGCCTCTCTAATCTATTTCTTTGTAGATCATATAAATTTGTTTTGTAGATATTTTTAAGTATATAGTTTATAATAATAAATTTAGAGAATTGTTAATCTCACCTCCCATTTTTGTTATTCGCACCCCTCCCGTGACTAAGTGTAGTAATGGCTTTTAAAATGTGATGATTTTATTGGTTCGTCTTTGTCTTAGTCACGGGAGGGGTGAGAATAACAATTCCCTAAATTTATTATTATTAGGATTCACTTTTGCTCACTTGCTAATTATATTATATGATGGAATCTCGATTATTATTTTTGATGCAACCAGATGAACAAATGGATTCCTTCAATGCATCAAGTTTATGAAACAAGCAAAAGGAAAAATAATGCAATTTCAAATTTGTGAGTTGGATGTTTTCTAGGAAAACCAGGTTCTGGGACCCTCTGACCAAAATCGAGTTATAATAATAGCAACATTACGAGGATTATAATTAGTTACATAAATCACTCCTGTTAGAGGATAATAATAGAAACGGGGATACTAACAAATTTGGAAATCTTTTATGAAAAGTTTGTACCAACTGTCCATACAAAAAAATTCCCGATACATGTCGATCGTTTTTGCATCCATACCAATCAAGTATTTTATTATTTAATTTTTTTTAAAAAAAAGTTTTCCGTAAATTTTTTTTTTAATAGACTTAGTTTGTTAAATGAAACTTTGGGTATTAATATTGATATTTATATTCAATGACATTGTTGCCAAATTTTTTTTTAATGAACAGTTGTTTTATTTATAAGATGTGAACCAAAAGGAAACTTGACTTGGTTGGCTTAGCTTAACGATAATTTGTTTAGTTTGATTACCAGCCATGAAATTGCTTATAAATGATTATTTATACTGGAAATCTGGGTAATTTATTATTCACAGAATAACTAATTGAATTAATTAATGTTAAGTTGTTTATGCTCAAGCCACCGTTAAATTTTTAAACCAACCTATTATTATTTGTAAAAGTGATTTAAAATTTACACACGCTTATTTAAATAAAAGACTTTTACCAAAAATAAATCAAGAAAATATAAAATAAACAAACAGCTAAATCATCATGACTTCGAAAATGTGACAAGTGGTAGCGTTATGTATAAATCAAGCCTATCCACATTCAGAGAGGTTCAATGCAAAGGATTTTTTAATGATTATAACGTGGTTGACTTTGAGAAAGGCACATTGGAGGTAATGTTGTGTGAGAAAATGTTTTGGAATTGAGATACTATTTCGTCAAATGCACTAAAAAATGACGAAAGACTAAACCCTTGACGAAAGTCAAAGCCCTTGATGAATGACTAAGCCCTTGATGAAAATCAAAATCATTGAAGTCATTGGCAAAACAAGTAAAAAAAGTTTTTATTAAAATATATTTATTTTTACAACTTCGTTATCAACATTTCTTCTATGTAAATTATGTTGTTCTAATATAAGCTTTGACTTTTTGATATATTTGCTTAGATTGCAATTATCATTATTTATTATCTTCAGCCTCCTCATTATCATTTCCGTCTTCTAAATTACAATCTTCACTTTCCAAGTATAATGATTGACTCAGTTTTCAAAATTGTAAACTTCCACTTCCATTCAGGAACATTAAATATTTCTGTATCAAGAAGTATTCCAGATAAATCACTTCTAGATAGTGGTTTATATGCAGATATAATTGTTGAAGAAGATCTATAAAGTATGGATTACTGATAACTGAAAAAGAAATCACACAGCAAACAAATGCTTTGATTTAATGCCCAGTTAATAGAATCATTGTGTTCTTTTGTCAACAATTTGCTTTCATAAAAATTTGAAATTGGTTGTTGAGTTGATGATGATTCTAAAATTCATTATTATTATCATTGTTTATTTGTCTTTGACATTCTCTTTTAATTTTCACAAGTACAACTAGGACTACTATACATGTAGTAGGAATAGGTTGATCACTTGATTCAATCAGGTGACTCTTTGGCGCAATTAATTATATAAATAATTGAATCAGACGCGATTAGAAATTTGAAATTTTAGGAATTGAGTCAAAGCCAAATTAATTTTGACAACACGTATAACCAGGACAATGATTTGTCAAATGTGATAAAAGTTTTTGCGGTTGTTCACAATTAAAACCTTTTTGTACTTGCATTGTGCAGAATAACGTCCTTTAGGTTTTCTTCTTGATGGATCTACACATTTGAGGAAGGTCTACCAAATAATTTATTTTGTGGATTTGACATTTAAAACTAATCCTCCTTACCTTAAGCAGCAATATTATCTCATGAACTTACTACTGGATATAAAAAAGGAGGTGGAAGTTGCTAGCGCAGTGATTGTAATTTGAATGGTTTATGGTTGTTATTATAATAGTCTATTATTATTATAGATTCAATTCAAAATAATTTTACTCAAATTATTTATTTTATGTAATTAAAGGGTGTCTTATATATACAGTATATATATATTTTATTATAAAACAAAAAAAAAATTTTCAATTTTACTTTTGTCAAATAGACAAAATGGCCCTTGGTGAGACGCTACCTTTAGTCAGTACTTTCGTCATGACTAAAGTCAAAAGTTTCGTCATACATTATTACACGCGGGAAATGGAGAAAAAACTATTTCAAGGTTAGACGAACCTCTACAACCAAATAACAAGAAAGTAAAAACATAGATGGGAATTATTGGACTAGGAAAATCTACAGTAACAATCCTTTTAATATATATAAAGAAAGTATTCCAAGCCCTATATCTCATGCAAACAAGATATAATTCTTTCTCTTTATATATAATAATTAATATTAAGAAAGAAAACTCAAAATAAAAAAAATCGGTTGAGAGGTTTCCTAGTCAAAATCCCAGATAGAGACGAAGATACTCACTCGTAAGGTAAATAATAATAACAAATACAAATTTTTGTCGAACCTTCCTGCACGAATAACAGTAATTGGATCCATATTGATATATAACCCATACCTGCATGATATCAAAGCTTTATATCTATATCCGAATCCGTTTCTCAAAACTTTATAACCATACTCAAAAAAAGTTTCCAAATTTTACCCAAACCCTGAGTATACTCATTTAAAATTTTTTTTTTAGCTAAGAATTACTATTGAGAGAACTACCGGCTATTCCTTGATTTAAATTTGGTTGAGTTTTATTCATTATTAAACCAGCTCTCCTTCACTGGGTCCATTGCAGGCGGTAATTGATAAATAACAATAAGAATATAATATTGATAGTTTCTCCACTATTCTAAATTCAATTCTTTTGAAGACAAATATTTATCAATTTCGTTTTACCATTATTATCTGGATCATAAAACTGACTAATCAACATTAGATCATTAGATTATTATTTTTTCTTTTAATAGGTTGCATAAAATCCGGGTTCATTCAAACCCATATCTGATCAAATATACTACAGTCGTCCAAATCCATACCGCCATTTGAGTATGGCCCGGGTAAAAATCGCGGGTCTCGATCCGTTGTAGACTTCTACCTCAATCTTTTCTGTCATCGGGAAACTCAGAATTAGTACCAAATTTCAAAGGTTGTGGAGTGGCCGAAAAGGAAAACAATAATAACAACAACAAATTTGAAACAGCGGAGAAGAGCTTTGATAAAAAAAGGAGAGAAAAAATCTTCATCTTCTACTTGGTCTATTTCGAAATTGATGCCAAGAGAACAGTTTCTCAGTACCTGGACAAAAGTATCGGAACACTTGCTTTTGCTGATTGCGCAAAAATATACATAATAAACATATATGAAATTTATATAATTTGTGGTTTAGGTTCTTGTGAATATCTATGGAAAACCCCATGTATCTAGGTTCCGTAGAACTCGAATAATTATATAAAAATGAAATTTCATTAAAATTTTCTTTGACGATCACTAAATGACGCGAAATTTTTTATTTTATTCTCAAATTCTATGTAATAATTTTTAATTTAAAATTTTAACTATTTTTAATGTTTAGTTGGGTATCCTTTGCTCTTTATACAAGCCTGAATTCTACTAGGCATGCTTTCAATCAAATTCATTAAAAAATTTTGAGGAATTTTATTCCATTCCTCT